CATTGTCAAAAATTATAAAATAAAAATGAACAATCACCAAAGATTAAATAAAAACATTATACAAGAAGTAAATAATTTAAATACTGGATTGAATCATTCAAGAAGACTCAACATAATTATTTATATCATAGTTTATTCATTAGTCAAAAAGTTTTTAAACATCATTTCCAGGAAAAATGCATTCTTGCTATATAAAATAATCCCAATATACATTCTTTAGGACTCAGTTCTTTATAGATTTCATTTATATAAGATACTATACATAACCAGGGAAAGTAACTATTTACAAATTTTTCAGAATCATTTAATCAAAAAGCAGAATGTTGATCTCAATATCAAACAAGTAAATATATACTGGTGAAGTTATTAGGTACTGAATTAGCTCAAATACAATTAACTATGATAGATATTTGGCTAGTATTTTTGGCATTGATTCATCCATTACCACCTTTTAATTGTTCTAACCATCTTGTTTGCCTTGCTAGCTTTCTTCAGCTAAAAATGGATTGAACATAAAAGAATCATATGCATTTTGAAGTAATACTACATCTATCGTATCTTAAAACAAAACATAGCTAACTCTGCACAGGAAGCATTTTATAATTATATTCAGTTCTTTCTAAATTTCTACATGGCAGCGAAGGGGGAATCCAAAGAGGCAAGACAGCAGCCATGACTGTGGAAGTAAAGCTATAACCCTATTGTATATGCATAAATATCATGTGGTAGAATTGACTCCTCAAGCTTTCTTCAGAACACTTTCTGCAGGATAGTTAATGTGAAAGGAGGATTATCTATGCAAAGTCATTTTCTAAGCATTTGAAATTATTTTGACAGAATGCTACAGCTTTACCATTAAGATTTAGAGCGATGCATTGTTCTTGATGTATCAATTGTTCTTTTAGTAAGGATAATTCCCTATTTTTTATTGTTTCACTAATATCTTTGACAATCATTGTTACATATTGTTCCATTTATCAAATCTCAGAGTAACAGTTTTCTTCTCTAGAAGATTATTATTTAATTTCTTTTATTATACATTTTATCTAAGGATTTCCCTGCAGTATCTGTTCTGCTTGATCAAGTGTTGCCTGGTTCAATTTATTGCCTTCTACCAACAAAGAGAGTATTTTTAGTCATGTACAGAGTTGTATAAACAAACTAAACAATTTTTCATTGCCTGCTTCTATCTCTGACTGGTTATGCCTGTATCTCTGGTGCATTTCTTTGGGAGAGGGGATGCAGGAGAATTGGTTATGAATCAATGATATAGTAGGTCTTTCTGCTTACAATACAATAGAAATAAGAATAAACATGTTTAAATATAAGAAATAGGAACTAATAATTGGGGACAATAGGACAGGGACAGTAGGCACAATTGCGCGCTTATGCATGCCCCTTACAGACCTCTTAGGAATGGGGTGAGGTCAATAGAGGTTAGTTTTAGGGTAAAGGAGTGGGGGTTTGAGCAGGTGACAACAGAATCAGGTAGTGAGTTCCAGACATTGACACTCTTGCTGAAGTCATACTTCCTACAATCAAGTTTGGAGTGGTTTACATTAAGTTTATGTCTGTTGTGTGCTCTTGTGTTGTTGTGGTTAAAGCTGAAATATTCATTAACTGGTAAGACGTTGCAACATACGATTTTATGTACTATGCTTAAGTCCAATCTTAGCTGGCGTAGTTCAAGATTGTCTAAGCCTAGAATCTCAAGTCTGGTGCTGTAGGGTATTCTGTTGCAAACAGAGGAATGTAGTACTCTTCTGGTAAAATACTTCTAGACTCGCTCAATTGTATTTATGTCTGATATACAATGCAGATTCCAGACAGCAAAACTGAATTCAAGTATTGGTCTAGCAAAGGTTTTGAATGCCCTAGTTTGCAAATCAGTATTACCAGAGGAGACGCTTCGTAAAATTAAATTTACAACTCTTAAAGCCTTTTTGGTAATACTGTTGCAGTGAGCTTTGGCACTTAAGTCATTCGATATGAGAACTCCAAGGTCCTTGACAGAGTGAGGGTCATCAACAAGGTCATATCCGCCTAGCTTGTATTTGGTATATAGATTTTTTTTTTTTACCAGTGTGTAGGACAGAGCATTTGTGGATCGAGATTTGGAGTTGCCAACTGTTAGACCATTCAGATACATAACCAAGGTCTTTCTGAAGAACAGTAGCATTGATGGTAGTGTTGAATAGTTTTACATCATCAGTGAAGAGGACGCAGTTGCTAATAAGGTGATCACAAAGGTCATTTATATAGAGTGTAAAGACTGTGGGTCCTAGAACGGTCCCTGGGGGGACACCGCTGATAACTGGTACAGGGTTTGATAGGGCGTTTCCTATTTTTACTATTTGTTGCCTGTTTGACAGGAAGGCAGTAATCCACTTGTGAAGGGATCTGGAAATGCCGTAAGAATTTAATTTTAATAGTAGTTTGTCATATACCACCGAGTCAAAGTGCCCAAGGAGCGGCTGATACAGTTCTACAGACTGTACAGACTCTGTCATCTGCACCTCTATACTAACTGGTTTGGTTCTGCAACCCAACAAGACAGATATATATTTCAGAGAGTAATTAGGACTGCAGAAAAAACTATTATTACCCACCTGCCTTCCATCGAGGACCTGTATACTGCACGAGTCAAAAAGAGGGTTGTGAAAAAATTTACAGACCCCCTCATATCCTGGACAGTTTCAACTCCTACCCTCAAACGACGCTATAGAGCACTGCACACCCGAACAACTAGACACAAAACAGTTTTTTCCCCGAACACCATCATTCTGCTAAACAAATAATTCCCTCAACACTGTCAAACTATTTACTAAGTCTGCATTACTATTGACTGTAACCTTGTTGTTTGTATCCTAATGATTTTTATTGACTGTTTCCTAGTATGATTTGATTGCTTGTTGTACCCTATGACTGTTTTTAAGTGCTGTACCTTATGATTCTTGACTCTTGACGAATGTATCTTTTCTTTTATGTACACTGAGAGCATTTGCACCAAGACAGATTCCTTATGTGTCCAATCACACTTGGCCAATAAAGAATTCTATTCTATTCTATTCTACATTACGACAGGACATTTCAGCTGCCATAAATATGAACTAGTTGCCAAGCATTTGAATTTTGATCACGTGACCATAAGGATGCTGTAATGGATGTAAGTGTTAAAAAGCGGTCATAAGTCCTTTTTTCAGTGCTGTTGTAACTTTGTACGATCATCAAATGAATATTGTAAGTTGAGGACTACCTGTATATCCAGACTCCTTGCTTAGAATTAGTTATGCTAATGAATATGAATATATGGATTATGAATAAGTGTTAAAATCCTCATTAGATTAAGCAAACATTTTCTTTCTTTAGAAATTTGAGGTTTGGAGAGGAAGGCTATCTTACAGCATTGAATATAATGCCTGAGAAATATTTTGCACAACCAGAGACTCCAATTCAGAAAAAGAATTAAGCCTATACATCCATCTTTAGTGGGTAGAATATAAAAGGATAAGAGCTAGCCAAGTGGTTAAATCTCCCATGTTGAAAGTGAGGATGCTTAAAACTTTCCTTAGTTTTCTTGGATTACATTCATGGAATTAAAAGAAACTTCAGCTGGGAAGCATTTATTACAACAAAGAAGCTGACTTGACCAAAAAAAATCGAATTTTTGAAGCATGCATATGTGCAGTTATTCTTTGGTATGGCAATTGGCACCCATGCTGACCCTGAGTTCTTCTGTTGCCAGTGAACTGGAAGCCAAGAGCCATCAGAAGCTACCATCAGTGAACTGATCTAGTTCAAACTGAGAATCGGGAAAAGAAAACCAAGCTTCTCTAATGTAGAAGAGATGGCATCTTTCCTACAGACATGTATGCCTAAATTTACTGCTAGCCGTTTTACAAGAAAAAAATCTTAATTTAAAAAAAAGCAGGGCCAGTGTATTTTGCATTGCTGAGACTTCCTTATAACCCATTAACATTATTCTTCAGATTCAGAGTGTATCATTCCTTATCTGACATATGTTTATTTTTCTACTAAACTGGATTGACAGTTCTGGGACTATGGGCTAGATTCCAGTGCTTCATTTTGGAAGAAATGGAATTACACATTCTTCTTTCTGACATATTTTTTTAATGGATTAATAGTGTCTTCCTAAACAGCCTTATTTTTAAAAAATCTTCATTCCTTAAAAAAACACTGTTTAGTTCAAATTGATGGGTTGTCCTCTATTAGTGAATGTCTACGAAGGGTATAAGCTGTGTGAAGAATCTCTGAGTACAGTGTTGACTTTTTGAAGGTTTAGGTTTCTTAGTATAGTTAATATTGGTTGCTGATGTTGAAACTGTTACACTGATAATTGAAGAAACTCAAGAATTTAAGAGAATTAATATGCTCTATTCTATCAAATGTTTCTCTAATTATGAATTAATTATAGATTTCTGTAACTACTACTTTAAAACAACATGCTTTGTAGCAACCGCTGCAATCTTCCCACATTAGCTTTATATTCTTGTTTTCTCTCACAACAACTTTGTAGAATAAATTGCATTAATTGTATGATATAAGGAGTAAAGGAGGGCTGGTGGGAGGGGAGCTGCATTCTGAATTTAAAGATTTGTCACTTTATTTAGGTATCTGAGTACTTGCTCTAAAAATAGACTCTTCGTATTCCATATTTTTAAGTCTATGCGAAGAGAAGATCTAAAGCAAAGATACACATAACCAAATTTAGGAGAGTAAATGGCAAACATGAGGTTAGGTTCCTGCATATGAACAGCCTGTTTGCTCTTAATATTCTATAGACATACATATTCGTAAAAAATGACCCAGGTCTTGTTTAAACAAACATAGATGTTTGATGTAGTTTTGTCTTACCTCCATGATTGAATGGCAGTTTTACACACCACAGTCTCATAGGGACAAAGGGAATGATTCTAAAACACAAAAAAACTTTTGTATGAAATTTGTCCTCATGCATTTCTCATCCATCTTTCTTTCAGACCATATACACCAATGAGGGGCTCTTTGTCCAATGTGTGGTTTGACAGATACAAGATCTCTAATGATTGCCCAGAACATACTGAAACCATTGATGTGATGTGTCAAGCACTTAACAGTTTGATTGATGATGAAGTTAAAAATGGCATCAGAAAAAACAGAATACTGTTGGGTAAGATTTGTAAGGAGAAATATATAACAGTTGGAGGAGAACTCGGCCTGTAAGCCAAGAGTTTGTAAGTCTTTAGTTACTAATGGCTTTTAGGTATTCACTTCAATCATTGTTATTAGAAACAAACTTGATTCTAACTAGGATTGGTGTCTTTGGATTTCTGTTACAGAGAAACATTGATTCAATTTATAAAGAAATGATGACATAGACCCCAGTTGCATTGACTATTTCCCAGAAAAGAGTTGTTAATCTCTTGAAAACAATTATATTGCATAAATTGGCAATAGAGATTGTCTAAGAATGCCAATTTATTAAGATACCTTAAGTTTTCTAAGCTCTTAAGAAAACAACATCTTATCTGCCTAAAGCCTTACCGTGAAAAAGGGAAGAAAAAAAGCCAACCTATAGATTTTCTTAGTCCCATTAATACTAATCTTTCTCACTCTGGTGTACTCCAAGCTAGATAGATTACAAATCTCATCATTACCAAGTAACGCCTCATGCTGTGGACAATATATTCTGCAGTCCAACACAGTAGGAAGACACTGAGTTAGAAAAGTCCTGCTTAGTCATTACTGAAGTGGAATAGTGCTAAGACCTAAGAACTTATGATGTAGGTTCTAGAAAAGGGAACAACTAAGTTTTGATACATCCTAGATGATATGATAAGACTGTATTGCTAAGTGTTGCTATGCTTCAGAAAGTTATCATAACTTCCATAATTTTGACAATATTGTTTAACAACATATTATTGAAATTTTCTTGAAAGTATCAAAATTATGTGCCTCATTTCTAATCAAAGACACACAATTCACAAGTTCATTTTTTCCATTTTTATGGAAAGTCCAGATGTTGTATCTGGTCACAAACGTTTCTTAAATTGCTATCTCTTTTATCATTTCAAAACTTTATTGAATTACAATCTGTTTTAAAGGTATAATCCTTTAGGATAACTTTTCCCCTCCTCTTCTTAGTGTAAAAAGAAAGTACCTCACAAAGAATCTTTTATTTTCCCTGCCATTTGGAGTATCTCTCTTGAGTTGTAAATTCACATCAACTGTAATCAACCACAAAAAAACCCCAGTTCCTATGATCTTGCAAGGAGCAGCTCTTCCAGAACACAAGAGGGTGATCACCATATCTCTCCTTTTCTCTGGAGAGATTTTTGTCAACCACTAACTGGATTTCCACCATAGTGCTGTCCCTGCTTACAAGGCCATTCACAGGGACATCTAATCAACCATGAATCCTCAGCCAGAATAAATTAATAAGATTTATGAAACTTAAAAGATAATTGCTAAGGTCCAATTAAAGCATTTGTGGTTCTTTTTGGATAAGCTCTACTAGCTGTCTTGGAAAGTCATGTAGTTTTCAATATATATTAGTTTTATAAAGGCTAAACCAATAATTCAGTTTTATGAACAATTTTAAAAGGTACTAAAATAAATATGGCAAGGATGCAAGAAACATGAAACAGATTTGGAATTTACCACAAAATCAATTAGCTCAAGTCTTAAGAAATGTGAAATACATCTTATTGTCATAAAGCAAAGTTAATTCATCAAAAGAATTGTAAATTTATAAAACCCAAAGGTGTTGTCTGACCAAGTGAGGCATTTGCCAGTTAAATGACAAATTTAACACCAAGCCTCCTGCTTGCTTTTCAGCCATTTGCTGTATTATTTGTATCACCTAATCATTGCTTATTTTTCTATTACCTTGTCAGGGAATCTTAAGATTCTGTCCTCACTAGTAATTATTTTAAGGGAGGAAAACCTCCTGTTTAAAATATACAATATATACAGCACATTTGTTTGGGAACAAAAGAAAACAGTTCTGAAATCTAAGTATTTAGTTTTAATCTCTCTTTCTTTTTATCTTTAAAATATGTCCACAGGTGGTTTTTCAATGGGTGGAGGCATGGCTTTGCATTTGGCTTACAGATATCACCAAGAGGTGGCCGGAGTATTTGCTCTTTCAAGTTTTCTCAATAAGAATTCAGTTGTTTACCAGGTAGATGCTCACTAGCTTTTAAAAAATCCTTAGTTCTACCTTGCATTCATAAAATTATTCCAGAATTGGCAAAACAATAGACAGTAAAATTCATTATGAAGTAGCTGTATTTGTTTCATTTACTGAATTGTTTTTGTTTGTTGGACATTTTCTTTATCAGAATGGCAAGATATAAATCAAATAAACAATTGGGGGAGCATATGGGAATTTATCTGTAAGACTTAAACTATGCACAAAAAGTCCACCACGCTTTTCATTTTGGAAAGTTCATGGATTGTCCACACATGGATTGCCCAATGCTATATTTTTCTATGGAATCAAAATTACTTTAAAAAGTTCCATTAATATCTTATAAGCTTGTAAAAATCTGCCTTGGTTATATAATTTGCTTGTTTCCTTCTCTTGAAAGAATCCTTGACCAAATAGATTAAGAACAGGAACAATCAGCCACCAGTAAATGATGGTTGTAATATTGTGCCATGTACTAACTAGGTCAGGGACAGAAGGGTTCTTTCCATTAATGGAGTTACATAATTCTAGTTTCTTCCAGAGTATTTTTTTTCTTCAGCATAAATTTGGTGAGAAGCTATAGCTCAGAGGCAAAGTGCATGCAGTTGAAGCTTTGCCTTTGTTTCTGGGCATTTCCATTTCCAGCATCCCAAGGAACAGAATCTAGTAAATTGCTTTGCCTGGTTCTTTGAAAACTCATAAACACTACTGTTTCAAGTGCTCTTGTTCATACAATGAACAAGAGAACAGGGATTCGCTAGTGGGTATATCTCACTATCACATACTTATCCTGTCTTCTGGTTTTTGTGTGTGGGAAAGCAGGTTTGATGTAAGGAGTCTGCTGCAGTTTTTAGAGTCCTTGCCTGATTTAGAATTGTGATCATGCAAGATGAACAGTTCATAGAAAACCTGCTTGTTTATAGGGGCCTTCCAATGCAGACCTTCATGTATAAAATATTAGGTATTTTAGGTGGCAGGGCCAGGTAGCACATTTCTGTTCATACTATTTTCATTACATAAAACTTGCATGTTCCCTTATTTTTCCAATTGTCTGTCTTTTAAATGGGGAAGATAATGAATTCAGACACCCATCTGGACATCTATTTTCTTTTTGTTAAAATGTACATGACTTAAGATGGTTAATGTCTCTTTTGCTACTAGGCACTGGAAAAGTATGAAGGAGAACCCCCAGATTTGTTTCAGTGTCATGGAACTGCTGATGAACTGGTTCTGTATTCTTGGGGAGAAGAAACCAACAAAACATTAAAAGCTCTGGGAGTAACAACTACATTTCTGAGTCTACCAAACCTTTATCACGAACTAAGCAAAAGTGAGCTAGAAAAACTGCAATCTTGGATTTTGAAAAAATTGCCAGAAGAGCCTTGATTAACAAATAATAAATGGAAAATACTGTAGAAAAATAGCATTAGTTCCTATTACTGTATATATGGAAGCGGCAGGGTCTGCGAAAATACATAAAACAGGACATTGATAATTTTATACAGTTCTTCATTTTTTATTTCTGTATCTCAAGTTACATCAAATAGACCTTCTCATATTGAAAAAGTTGTACTACGTGCCAAGACTTGTCTATATATTTCAGTCACTTGAAGTGGATTAACTGTATGATTTTATTTCAATGAAACCAATTTTCTGATTATTTTCTTTGTCTACACTGCATGATAAATGACAGCAAGTTAAATATTGTTTAAAAACTTAAGTTAAATATTTCCCAGATCCATGTATGGGTAGTCCTCATTTTAGAACATAAATGAGCCAAAAATTTTAAGACAGTTGTTAATTGAGTTTTGCACCATTTTACAACCTTTCTTGCCACAGTAAACCACTGCTGTTAAGTTATCAACACATTTGTTAAGCGAATCTGGCTTCCTCATTGGCTTGCTTGTTAAATGGTCATAAAAGGTGATCACATGATCCTAAAACACTGCAAATAGATACATGCCAGTTGCCAGCTTTCAATTTGCAAGCATTAGGGGTGCTCAAAAGTTGTGACATTCCTTGGGGATTGTAAAGATATGTTGGTTACTTTAATACACTGCTCAAAAAATAAAGGGAACACAAATATAAGACATCCTAGATCTGAATGAATGAAATATTCTTATTAAATACTTTGTTCATTACATAGTTGAATGTGCTGACAACAAAATCACACAAAAATTATCAATGGAAATCAAATTTAGCAACCCACGGAGGTCTGGATTTGGAGTTACCCTCAAAATTAAAGTGGAAAAAAACACCACAGGCTGAATCAACTTTGATGTAATGTCCTTAAAACAAGTCAAAATAAGGCTCAGTAGTGTGTGTGGCCTCCACATGCCTGTATGACCTCCCTACAATGCCTGGGCATGCTCCTGATGTGGTGGATGGTCTCCTGAGGGATCTCCTCCCACACCTGGACTAAAGCATCCCCCAACTCTTGGACAGTCTGTGGTGCAACATGGCATTGCTGGATGGAGCGAGACATGATGTCCCAGATGTGCTCAATTGGATTCACGTCTGGGGAATGGGCAGGCCAGTCCATAGCATCAATGCCTTCGTATTGCAGGAACTGCTGACACACTCCAGCCACATGAGGTCTAGCATTGTCGTGCATTAGGAGGAACCCAGGGCCAACCGCACCAGCGTATGGTCTCACAAGGGGTCTGAGGATCTCATCTCGGTACCTAATGGCAGTCGGGCTACCTCTGGCGAGCACATGGAGGGCTGTGCACCTCCCTAAAGAAATGCCACCCCACACCATTACTGACCCACTGCCAAACCAGTCATGCTGGAGGATATTGCAGGCAGCAGAACTTTCTCCACGGCGTCTCCAGACTCTGTCATGTCTGTCACATGTGCTCAGTGTGAACCTGCTTTCATCTGTGAAGAGCACAGGGCACTAGTGGCGAATTTGCCAATCTTGGTGTTCTCTGGCAAATGCCAAAGGTCCTGCATGGTGTTGGGCTTTAAGCACAACCCGCACCTGTGGATGTCGGGCCCTCATGGAGTCTGTTTCTGACCATTTGAGCAGCCACATGCACATTTGTGGCCCACTGGAGGTCATTTTGCAGGGCTCTGGCAGTGCTCCTGTCCCTCCTTGCACAAAGGTGGAGGTAGCAGTCCTGATGCTGGGTTGTTGCCCTCCTACAGCCTTCTCCACGTCTCCTGATGTACTGGTCTGTCTCCTGGTAGCGCCTCCACAGCAAACCTTGCCACAGCTCGCATTGATGTACCAGCCTGGATGAGCTGCACTACCTGAGCCACTTGTGTGGGTTGTAGACTCCATCTCATGCTACCACTAGAGTGAAAGCACCGCCAGCATTCAAAAGTGACCAAACCATCAGCCAGAAAGCATAGGAACTGAGAAGTGGTCTGTGGTCACCACCTGCAGAACCACTCCTTTATTGGGGATGTCTTGCTAACTGCTTATGCTTTCCATCTGTTGTCTATTCCATTTGCACAACAGCATGTGAAATTGATTGTCAGTCAGTATTGCTACCTAAGTGGGCAGTTTGATTTCACAGAAGTGTGTTTGACTTGGAGTTACATTGTGTTGTTTAAGTGTTCCCTGTATTTTTTTGAGCAGTGTATAATTTAGATGTGCTTGATAAGTAGCTACATAAATACAACTTTTTAAACATTTTTTTGTTTCATTTGTCATATGGTCAGGGAGAAATTCAATAGCAAACAACAAAAGTACTGTATAATGTTTTCTAGCCCCTGGAATTAGCTCTGGTGTTCTAAATAATATAATTTCCATGACTATAAACTAGCACCCTTACCTTCTACACATTTCTCTAAACCATTTTAAAGAGCGGGGAAACCACCTGGCATCTGAAAAAATACCTTGATCTTCAGAGCCATTTCATAATAGCTTCCAAAGCTGCCATTTGACATTTGCAAAGTACCTAATTCTTCAAGCAAATGAAAATGACACTGAATTAGCCTATAACTTTCCCTAACTCTAATCATAAAAGTGAGGTAGGCTGAGATGAAAGAATAAAATAGCCCAAAGTCACTCTAGTGAGGTTAAGTCCTGAACTTAATCATTGCACTGCCTGCCACTGACTTATTTGTGGTAAAGATACCAGAATAAGACTGACCATCAGAAGGCTACTGATCCCTATACACCAGGAGTGTCAAATTTGTGGCCTGTGGGCCAAATGTGTCATGTGCTGGCAATATCCACCCCCATTTTAGCGAAAGGGAAAGTTGAGATACATCAGGAGAGTTTGACACCCCTGCTGCACTAACAGTAAAGACCTATCAGTCCTTCTTATTGCCAGAATCCAAGGGAAATTGGTGCTTAAAAAGTATGAAAAATAATAAATAAAATATCTCTTCTGCATCCATGAGCAAGAGGGTGGTATCGGTCAATTTGGGAAATACCATAGTCCTCAGAACTACAAAAAATAGTTTTAAAAAAGGAAGTTGAACTCACTGAGGTTGAACAAGCTCATTTAGGGGATAGGGAAAGAAAATAAAAAGAACAGAAGAACCTAGAAATATGGCAAGGCTAGCGGCATGGCTAGCAGTGAGAACACTCAAACTACAACATTTTATTGCAAGGAGTCACTTGTACCCTACAACTTAGCCATATGTGGCTTGGAATCTCCTAATTGTTGGATGCATTAAAATATTTCAGAGTATGATGATGAGATGGGAAACTTAATCACTGCCATGTGTAGACTTCTTTCAGAAACATGCATTATATAATTTAGTGTGACTTACTTTCAGGAGTTAGTTCAGCATTGATGATACAATGATATTGGAATGACTCTAAAGGTTGAAATACATTCATGCTGACATTAAAAAGAAAAAAAATAGGCAAACCTTTTGTAAATGTTTCATGAAATCATCCTTGGCTCCTTCTCAGGCCATTCTTTTTTAAAATAAAAAAAAGATGATGCTTCTGTAAGCAAAATATGTAAGCTGCTTACAGGGCTGGCAGTGCTGTTCTTAAAATGGCGAACTTTTCTTCCCTGAAAAAACAAATGTTGTGAAAGTGCAATGTTGTGAAAGTGCATTTGATTAATGCCAGACTGCTGATACTTCTAATATTCTTCATATGGTAGAGAAGAACTTGTGATCCTGCTGTCAGGACTGCAGAACTGAATTTGTTAGGCTCATGTAGGTAAATATATAAATGTTTCCTTTCTTCTTTTGGGGATTAGGGATTGATTGATTTTTTTAAGGTTGGATTTTCAAATCATGAAACAATAAGACTCACAGGCTGTGTTCTAATAAGCTATTAAATACAGAGATTTAACCCCAAAGGAAGATGGAAAATTCTGTAGATTCAGTTAAATATTTCATTTTGAGATATTTCCTTCAAGTGTACTTTTGTTTGCTGGCTACATACTAGTTTTAAGAATCAGACATGATCTTAGAAGGTTTGACATTTCGTTCAAGGTCTTGCAGCCTTGTGTGTCCTCAATGCTCTTTTCCATTTTGTTATTTTGCTTACAGAATAATTGGCTCATGAAGCTGTGTTATGAGCCTTATGTCTATCTTCATCTTAATTTATAAATTCTTCAGTTTCTTTTGTACTTCCACTGGAGTAAATTTTTACAAAACTATTATGTTAACACTTCATTGCCCATTTTTTAAAAAGATCAAGTAAAAAAAAAGCTATTCGCTTTTGTCCATTATAATGATTAGCTGGAGGATTAGCTGTAGGTCAGAAAAAAATGGTTTGATCTTGTTATCTTTCCAATAATGAATGTTTAATAAAGAGAAACCTTGAAACAAAAGACTTTTCTCTTCTTGGGTAGTTGAAATATTTAAGACAAATCAAAACCCAGCTGGTTAACATGTTGGATATGGAGTCAAATATATGTAGGTAGATTGAGCTCAAACAGCATGTTATCCTCAGATACACCACTCAAAGCTGTTTTAGTTTTTGTGTGACAATTGATAGAAATGGTGTGGGCAATCATGGATCTGCATTTGTATTTACCATATTTATGTTCTGCCTAAGGAGCAGTCTATCAAGTTCATTAACAAGTGAGAATAAATACATAACAGCATATATTAAGTTCCTTTGAAAGGCTTTACTCGTGAAAGTTGTTTATATATAGTGGAGGGGCTTGAAAATGATGAAAAATATCTACTCTTTAAATCTTAGAAGTTGCTTGAAGGAAGCTGTTTCAACTTATGCTTTGGAACCCTTCCGCATCACTGTTATCTAGAATCTAGACCCAAGCAGCATTAGATGTTGAGTCCGTGGATGGAAAGTCATAGTGTTTCTTCGGTGGGATAATTGTTGAGCTGCAAAATCTGAATTTTTGATCATTTCAATAAGGTTGCTGATGTGGTATTTTAGAGAATAATGACCTGATGACCAAGATTTAGAGAGTAATGGCTGATGACCAAGAATGAACTTTTTGTCTCCATCCCACTTTTTCC